ATGAACCAAAAGATTGGTCATTATTTTTCATTTATGTCTATCTAATTTCAGGAGTAAAATCAGAAATGCACCCATGCTTCAGATAAACTAATAGATGATGAAGACAAGAATGAAAACGAAAACATAGGATCTTGATATATGTATTTTGCAAAGGGTTCGAGAGTGAGTGGTCCATGAGAACAAATAAAACAAAATATAATGAAAGCAATTCTTCAGATAAGGTACATATGAAGAGTCATCATCAAATCCACTTAAGTTTAATAAAAACGACAAGTTCGACTTAAGCTCAAGCAAAAGAACAGGCGCAATCATTCTTCAATTCAAATTTCGAAACACTAAGAGCCTCGTTCACTGCATTAAATTATTAAACACTAAGAGCCTTGTTTGATGTGTCAACCATTCAAAACTATCCAGTTCGAGTGCCTGTCGAAGGAAGAGAAATACCAGTCTGAGTACAGGAAATTCAGAACAAAACGGAGGTCAGTAACGGAAAAGGTGAACACCTTGACGAAGAAGAAGAACGTCGAGTCGGCGGCGCATTAGACAATGAGAACTTCAAAGAAAACTGGCGAAATAACAGGAGATCAGAGGCGCAAAAGAGAGAGATTAAAACATGAAACGCTGAAAACAATGGTGATTCTTCCCGTAAAAAGAATAAACTTTCAGAACTAAAAGAAACATCCCAGATCCCTAATCTCTAATCCCTCTTTTAGCTTTTTTAGTTACAAAAAGAATCCAAAAGCTCAACGCCGAAGCATGGGGAGAGTCTCTAATCCCTCTTTTAGCTTTTTTGGTTACAAAAAGAATCCAAAAGCTCAAGGCCTAAGCATGGGGAGAGTCTCTTTAATCCCTCTTTTAGCTTTTTTGGTTAAAAGAAATCCAAAAGCTCAAGGCCGGAAGCATGTGTAGAGGCCTGCAAAGGAAAGCAAAAAGGAAATACTTTTTTCAATTACCTCGACGGTCATAGAGAGGTCACAACGGCGTTGAATGGCGAAAAGCTACAGCAGTTTCGTGGGAAAAGCTACACCAGTAAATATGAATTTTATTAGGGTGTTTTGTTTTAAAAATGCCATAAAAGCCATTAATGTTAACATTTGTGGGATGCCGGGATATGTGTAAATTTAGTGGCTTTTTCTTTTAAAACGTCGTTAAAAATGCCGCGATAAACTTATTTTATAGTGGTGCTTAGAGCTTTTTTTTTTACCTCTTAATTTCAAGGTTTGGTCATGGAGGTCATGATGGGGTTCTAGGACTCTTGGAGTTTCGAATCCATCTTAAAATTTCCACGTAAGTTAATAATCCTTTCATTTTTTTGGTTAATGAGAGAAGTGAGAGAAAGCTCTAAAGTGAAGGGTAAGGAAAAAGAAATTTTTGGGTGAACCTTAGGTTGTTTCTTTAACCTCTTATAGGGGGTGTTTGGTTCAAGGATTGTGGGATTCTCATGAGATGTGAATCCCACATTCCCATGTTTGGTTAGCCGAGAATCTCATTCCCGGTAATGTTTTATTACCAATAGTAGATTTTTTAGGGTATATTATCGGGAATATCATTACCTCCATTTCCTTAGGTATTGTAACATTACCGACATTTTGGACTAAAATGCCTTTAAATTTTTATTTTTTTTTCAAAAATATCATTCTTCTGTCATTGAATAATAAAAATTCTACGAAGGTTAAATTACAAATTTATCCTTAAATTATTTTAGATTTACAAAAAAAATCTATAATTAAAATTTTATATGAAGTTCAGGGGTTAAAAAAATTTACCCTTTCATTAAACCTTTTTTATAATTTAAATTTTGTAAAAAAAATTATATAAATATTATGAATTTAATTTTTTAAAGAAAATATATAAATATTTTACAATTTGTAATATTATACAAATATATAATAAGGACAATTTGGTCAAGTATACATTCCAATAATCTTTTATTCCTTTAACCAAACACGGTAATCTTACATTCCTGCTAAACCAACCAAACACAAAATACAACATTCCCAGTAATCCTATTCCCTGGTAATCTTTTATTCCCACTGGTAATCTTACATTTCGTGAACCAAACGCACCCTTAGTGTAAGGTAACACACTTCTAACATTTCTTTACTACTTGTAGATCAACATGTGTAGTTTTGATGCATGTTTGGTTGTATGAGCCATTTGTGTGCACTTGGGGGTTTAAATGCATGTAAACGAGATATGTTATTCATGTGTAAAGTAATGGTCTTTCATGTTCCTTAAGTATTAAATAAGCTTTAAACACCATTTGGGGGCTTTGGGGGACACTTTAGGAATGAATTTGAGGATTTTATACGAGTGAAACAGAGTTTTCTAGGAAGAGGGTATCGATACTGTAAGAACAATATCAATATTGTCGGTCGTGTCAGGGTAAAATTCAAAAGGTTTGTGAGGAGAGTATTAATACCCCATCAAGATGTATCGATACTGCTCAAGTGGTATCGATACTCGGGGCCTTGATCAGAAACATTGAAGCTAATTTTGATATCGATACTCATAGGAGGATCGATACTAAGGGTAGAGTATTGATACTCCCCATATGGGTATCGATTCCGAGGTATTTTTCAAAACATCGAAAGCAATTTTGGTACTGATACTCAAGGGAGTATCGATACCCAAGCGAGAGAGTATCGATACTAAGATAATTTTCAAAACATAGAATGCATTTTTGGTACTGATACTTGGAGAAGTATTGATACCATATGAGGGGAGTATTGATACCCAAAGAGGAGTATCAGTACCATTGTGACTATTTAGGCTATAAGCCTAGTAGAGGCTAGAGGGGCGAAACCAAGGGGTTTAGTGCGAGAAACCTTCTAATAAACTCTTAAATGGAACACATTAATTAATTGTGTGATTACATAACATCTTAATGAGGTAGCTTCCTTAAGACTTATGCATTTGTATGATCATCGGGGAAAGATAAGGACACCCAAGGTACTTGTATGAGGATTGTGTGATAGATTGAGGATTATTCGGATATATCCAACGTCATTACTTGACGCTTAGAATGCTAGTTGGATGTTGTGCCGATTCTAAGTGACCCGGACACGTCTCAAGTACTATAGAGGAGTAGACTAGCCGAGTAAGGTGTCGATGCTATATGACCTGGACCTAACCCGAAGTATAGGGAGATGTTGATGCTATTTGACCCAGATCTTACCTAAGGCTCTTAGTAAGCAAAAAAGGTGTGAGTTCCGTGATGCTAAGTGACCCCGAGCTATACCATGATGCTTACTCTTGTTGTTGTGTTATTGTATGCGATTGTTCATAACCATACTTGTAGCATGCTCATGTATTGAATGCATGTAGTATAGTAGGGTTATTTATGTGGCACTGAGCTTGTAAGCTCATCGTATGGAATGTGTTTCCGTGCGCATGTTCTTAGGTGCCATCAGAGGAGCTCGTTGTCAGGTTTCAAGATTTCCAAACTCGATCTTCCACCAGAGTACATCTCGAGTATTTAGTAGGCATGTATTGTCATAGACCCTTGTTATTATTTTAGTCGTAAACTCTATTTTGTACTTATATATTTTGGAGATTTTTGTTGGGAGCTCCCCATATTTTAAATACTTATGATGGTAAACATATTATGTTTTGGATATTTATATAATGTTTAAATGTTAAATTAGTCAAATGCTTAAAAAATGGTTAGCCACTCGGGTGGTTCCGTTTGACATTCTAATCATTCGAACTTTAAGTCGGTTCGGATTAGGGTGTTACATTTTTCATATTATATTATATTTTATATAAATAAATATGACACTTATGAAAATTATTTAAAAATATAATCTCGATATACTAATTATATTAATTACATGTTAAATGTATTTTTTCAGAAGTTAGTGTAACAATTAAAATATTTGTATGAATTTTCATTCAAATATTTATAATTTAATATCAAAGTTTAACTTGTTGAAAAAAACATATATCATAGGGATAATTTATAAAATATGCATCCAACAAATTTTATATTGATCAAACTAAACACTGTAATTTTGCATTCTGCTAAATAGACTAAACAAGTAATACAACATTCTCAAGGTAATACAACATTCAGGTAATCTTATTCCTAAAGATAATCTTACATTTCCTGAACCAAATGACCCTTTAAGATAAGATTGGAGAAAGAGGCCTAGATTCTCTCTCAAGCATTCTCTTAACCTCTCTCTCTCAAGTTTTTTTTTCTTGACGATTATTTACAATCATCTTCAGTTTAACCGTTCTTTCTTTCTCGTATATAAAATAACCGATTGTGATTTTCCGTCTAAACCAAAAAATGTCAACCGTTAAAGGCTACCACAACCTAACTTTTCACACCAATAAACTTAAATTTTTAAATATAGAAAAATAAAAAGATTAAATTATGAGAATAAAAACAGGACTAAATTTTAAATATATGAAGAGTACAAGGATTCAGAGTATATTTTAACCCGTTTTTTCCTATGTAATCAGGGGGTTCTCCCTGGGATGGATGTATATCAACTCTCAAAAGATCATGTTTCATGAGGCTGGATTCTCATATTTTTCTATGTAAATTAAATGGATGGAAGGATCATGACCTTTCTTATTCAATTATGAGATCAGAATTATTCGTTATTGAAGTCTGGCTTCATTTTCCTTTCACATGACTATTTAAATTAAAACTACTTAATTAATGTTCTTAAAAAATCTAAAGATTTATCTGTTTAAACTTTAAACCAAGAACAAGTTGCAAGAGATCATGAATCCAAACCCCTCCAGCAAAATCCCAAATCTTAATATTTTATATCCATGTTCATGTCATACCATTGAGTATTAAATTCACAAAGAAAAAAGAAATAAAATCAAGTTGTTATATAAACAAAGCAAAATCCCCCAGGCTTCCTGGGAAAACGGAAAAGGGTAGGATATAATTACGCCGTCGTTTCTGTCAACTTGATCTTCTCTTCTTCTTTCTGCAAGTCCAATTTTCGTTTTGCTTTTGGTTCTTTTTGTTTTTTTCAATGGATGTGCAATCAGTGAAAGAGTTGCTGGCATTTTCATGTAGGAAGAGAAAATGGCTAATGTTGTCAGCTATATGTGGAGCTTCTGGTTATGGTGTTTACAAGGTGTTGAATTCACCATCCATGGAGAGTAAAAGGAAGAGGCTTCTGAAGCTCTTCGGAGCACTGGTTTCATTATCCGAATCGATCTCGGATTCCGCCGAGACCATCAATGTCATCTCCAAGGACCTGAGGGAGTTTCTAAAATCAGATTCTGATCAAATTCCCAACAGTCTGAAGCAGATTTCAAAGATTGTTAGTTCGGATGACTTTTCACAGTCTTTAATCAGTACTACTCAGGCTCTAACAGTTGGTGTTTCGAGAGGCTGTAAGCAAGAGTCGGGGAATGTTTCTGAACTGGAAAATTCAAGCTTGACTGATAAGGTATTGGATAGGGCTTTTTCTGATTCTGGGACTGGTTTTGTATCTGTTGTTGTTGGTAGCTTTGCTAGGAATCTGGTGCTGGGATTTTGCTCCAATGGTGGACAAAATGGTGGGTCATCTGATGTGCCCAAATGGGTTTATGACGATAAATGTAAAGAGCTAATGGCTGATTGCATACAGAGATTTGTAAGCACTGCTGTTGCGGTCTATATCGACAAGTCCATGACCATCAATTCTTACGATGATATGTTCGCCGGAATGACCAATCCAAACCATCAAAACAAAGTCACAGACCTCTTGGTTTCCGTTTGTAATGGTGTCGTCGAAACGCTGGTGAGAACGTCTCATCAAGTTTTGACGAGTTCAAACCCGGCTTCTACTCGTGCAACCGTCAATAATTGCGATGCGAATGCCGGTGGCACGAGGGACGGTTTCGATAACGGAGCGTTTTTAGTGAACAATGGGTGGGCTGACAAGGTCTCATCCACATGGGCAGTTCCAAGGAATAAGAAGTTTGTGCTAGATGTGACCGGGAGGGTTACCCTCCAAACAATAAGATCTATAGCTGTGTTTCTGTTATGGAAGCTTTCACAGGGCTTGAAAAGAAGCGTTCGTGTTGTCCGTGAGGAAGTCGTTGAAAAAGGACTCGCCGTCGTCCGATACGTCGGTGCGGAATTGTCGGTTATCGTCACCTTTTGTCTCGCCATGTACTTGTATATCCTAGATGGTAGAAGGGTTCTTTTACCTGCTTGAATCCATCTTTTTCTGAAAATGCCTATACCAGAAGGCCTTGTATGTATACTTCTTCTCCTGCCACTAAAATGTATAATAATTATTGGAATTTGTTGCCACAAATCAAATATTATTATTTATTTCCTTGATATGTCTCTTTGGGTGTGCATATATACAGAGCTTGTTTTTTCATTGATTTTAGGGCATTATATAAAAAAGAATCTTTAACATTTGACATTTTTTCAATTACATCCTTAAAAGAACTTAGTAACTTAAATGGTAACATTTCGATTTTTTTTAAATAATTCATATTTAGATGATGAACTGATGATAATTTATTTTTAATCCCAAATTCAATTATCATTTAATTCAATGAACTTAGTCAAATATGTCACTGTTTCCATTACTTAAAATTAATATTTTAATCCTTTAAACGATTTTTTGCTCACCGGACTCAAATATTTTTGTTCGAGAATTCGGGAATGTTAGAGGTTTAACACTTGGGAGACCAAAACGATAGATCTCTTTAATAATGGTGAATAATTTTAAAGGACTTCTATTTGGGTGACCAAAATGCTAATGCCCAAAAGTCAAATGACCATTTAAATGGATTTAACCTAATTCTATTCTCAACTTGCTATTTTGCTACTGGGTGGGGTCTTAAAAAATACATATTTGTTCAGCTATTATCAAAATTATTTGGCATATTAACTAACTGATTTCGGTGGTAGATAAATTTTTATTATTTTTTAAGATTTTATGTTTCAGCATCAAGAACATTAGGAGTGTGAGCGTTCAATAAGTGGTGAATACATAAAATTTATTGGGTGGCCAATATAAATATAATAAAAAATTGGTATAATATTAAATTATACCCCAACTTTTAATTTTGGGTAAAAATAATTCATGGACGTAAATCGTTAGTTAACAAACTATTAACGTTGTAAAATAATGGTCCTTTTTATCCTAAAACGAAACATTGAGAGCTTAAATGCTCTAGGAAAAAAATAAGGGTAAAAACGTCTATTCATCAAACGTTCGAGACTTTTTTGCCCTAAAATGAAACCTCAGGAGTCAAAATACTAAAAAAATATATTAAGGACTAAAATGATCATTTTAATAAATGATGGGAACTGATTTTGATATTATACCTAAAAATTTATCTAACATAATTTATATATAATTGTTAATTTAAAAATATAATAACTATATAAATTTAAAGTGAATTCAGAAAAATATATTAGATCAATATAATTTTTAATATATATATATATTGGGGTATGGGGTGGGCCGTGGTCTAGGTATGCACATCCTTAAATTTACACATGTGTTTAATATTAAATATTTGAGAATTGTCTTTGAATAAATACTGCATTGTGTTTTTTTCTAATTAATAAGGAAAGAAATTATCCGAAATAAAAAAGGCATGTAATAAAATTTTGAGAAAATAACAAAAATTCCCCAAAATTTTTATATAAAAAACATCTATACCAATGTTTTTAAAAGTATCCATTTACTGTTAAGGTTTCATGAAAAATAATATATTAAAAATAATAACATTTAGTACTCCAATTATCACTTTTGTTTCGTTTCAGTAATTTAATTATTATTATTTTTTTCAAAATCATATCCAATGTTACATTTTGGTTAGATTTTGATCACTCACTGTTAAAAAGTAACATAACTACTGACGTGATAGTTTTAAATTTTTTAATAATGATGTGTCATTACTTTATGATGACACATCAATATTACCGTTAATTTTTTAATACTAGGTGACCAAAACATAACTTTTTTAGGTATGATTTTGAAAAAAAATAATATGGTGACCATAATGGAACAAAAGTCCGAGTTGGGATTCTAAATGCGTAGTTTACCTTTAAAAATACCATTCAGTCATTCACAAAGATAGGTTCTTTCACCCAAATAGACCGGTCCGGTTTTATTGCGTCCGACCACCCACCAACGCACCCACCCAATTTTTTATTCTTAAGGGGCATTTTCGTCAACTAGCAACTTTCAAATCCACTTCACATAGAAATCCCGCCTCATCTCCTCTCTGCTACTCAAACGTTTTTTAAAAGAAAAAATGGAAAAGATCTGCGTAGCAGTGCGAGTGAGACCTCCGATTTCCCAAGAAAATCCTTCTGGAGCCTTTTGGAAAGTCGAAGACAATCGAATCTCTCTTCACAAGCTTCAAGGCTCCCCAATTTCTGGTCTTTCTTATGCTTTCGGTGAGTTTCATTTCCCCTTTCCCTTTTTCCCGTTTCTGAATCCAATTCTCACCAGTTGAAGTTTTGTTCTGTTTAGATCATGTATTCGATGAGAATTGCTCCAGTTCAGAGGTGTACGAGCTTCTTACTAAGGATATTATTCATGCTGCCGTCGATGGCTTTAACGGTTTGAATCTTATCTTTTTGCTCTAATTTTGATGTCTAATACAAGAAAGTATCAATTTGTATAGATTTTCTATGTTTTATTGTGTTTTAGGGACTGCCTTTGCTTACGGACAAACGAGCAGTGGCAAGACCTTCACTATGAACGGTTCATCTAGTGATCCCGGGATTATTCCTCGAGCAGTTAATGATTTATTTCAGATAATAAATACGGTAATTTAACTATTTTTTTCAAAAACAGTTAACGATGCATTTCGGAGGCTTTGAGTTTGATCTTCTTCGTGTTGAATTAAATTCCCAGATTGATCGAGAGTTTCTCATACGAGTCTCCTACATGGAAATTTATAATGAAGAAATTAACGACCTTCTCGCTGTTCAGAATCAGAAATTACAGATTCATGAGAGTTTGGAGGTCAGTCATTTACTTTGATAAAGATAAAAAAGTTCATCAATTATGTACAAAATTAACTGATTTTTCTTGTCTCTTTTAGCGCGGGATTTTCGTTGCGGGTCTTGGGGAAGAAATTGTGAATACTGCTGAACAAGTGATGAAGCTCCTGGAGTCAGGAGAAGGTCCTTTAAACTTCTTAGTTTTGCCCTTGGTTAATATGGGTAGTGGTTTTTAAAAAATATATATATCGTTTCTCTTACAGTTAATAGACATTTTGGTGAGACAACTATGAATGCACGAAGTAGTAGGTCTCATACAATATTCAGAGTGGTAAGTTCTTTAAACTTTTTGTTGAACGTGAATATTACTCTATTTGTTTGCTGAACTGTACTTCTAGTAACCATTATATTAAATACACACTACTAGGTGATAGAAAGCAAGGAGAAGGATACAGGCTCTTTTGATGATTATTCAAGCAGTGATGCCATTCGCGTCTCAGTTTTGGTTTGTACCTTATATTACTGTACAATTTTCCCTTTTATCTAGTTTTTACTTTGTTCTATTAATTTTTTAATGTTTTTTTTAATTCCTTTATTCAAAAGTAGAATTTGGTAGATTTGGCTGGTTCTGAGCGGATTGCCAAGACTGGAGCTGGTGGAGTACGTTTGAGGGAAGGAAAGTATATTAACAAGAGCTTAATGGTTCTTGGTAATGTGATTAACAAACTAAGTGATGGTGCAAAACAAAGGTACTTGCTTTGCATATTCTGCGGGAAGTAAGGTTATTTGTGTAGAATAGAATAAATATATTCTAATGACAGAATTTATTGACATGTACAGGGCACATATTCCTTATCGGGATAGTAAATTAACCCGCATACTCCAACCTGCTCTAGGAGGGAATGCAAAAACTTCAATTATATGTACTGTAGCTCCTGAAGAGGTAGGCTTCCATTGACTGTGTACATGCTATTTCATGCTTGTTTTTTTGTTTTCTTATCTATTTTTAAGAAGGGGAGACGGAAATGGCATTTTCATCTGAGCATTTTGGTTAATTTATTATTCCATGTCTAGATTCACACTGAGGAGACGAAGGGAACTCTCCTTTTCGCTAGTAGAGCCAAACGAGTCACTAATTGTGCTCAAGTGAATGAGGTTTGTTAATTTTTCTTATATTGCAGCAGTATATCACCTAATATATGAATTTCCAATGCTGTCCTGTATAAATCATGAAATATTATCATGTTATTACTTATCCCTAGCATTTTGTTTTAATTGATTTGATATGAATTGACATGACGCTAATCATGGCTTAACTTCTTTCTAGATTTTGACGGATGCAGCCCTACTGAAAAGGCAAAAGTTAGAGATAGAGGAGCTACGCAGGAAGCTCCAGGCAAGGATCAGTTGACATAAACTAACATTAGACTTAAAAGGCAATCTAAAATTCTTCAACTTTTTTACAGGGATCTCGTGCTGAGGTGCTGGAGCAAGAGATATTGAAACTGAGGAACGACATGCTTAAGGTTCACTATTTTTTTATTTTATTTTATTTTAGAACATGGATTAATGTCTTGTATGACCAACTATTAACGTACACAATTTTTACCTGCTTGTATTCCAATTTTAGTATGAATTAGAGCGTGAAAAGCTTGAAATGGAACTAGAAGAAGAAAGAAGATCGCATAAAGAGCGTGATCAGTACTTTAGAGACCAACTGATGATGATTGAAAACCTAAGTAGTTTGGTTTCTGATGGTGATGGAAGCTCTAGTCAGGTATAATCTCCGCAAACTGCTAAATGAGAATAGAGATTCCTGTTTCTTTTCTGTGTGCTTCTAAATTTAGTTTGTGCTGCAATCTTATTGTGGTTCCTACTTTCTAGATTAGAAGATCATTGCCTAGTTTTGGCATGTTATGGCAACATTACTTGGAGAGCAATCCATCTAGACATCTTTTACAACACTTAATTTAGCTTTAAAAATCGTGTTTTGTCATTCTGCTTTCTTGGATGACTGAGTGATGCACGTGACTACAAATGACAAAACTTAGATTAATGAAGTTCATGTATTCCTGCATTACACGTTCCCATTATGCCCTTGCCATATGTTTATCTACAGCAATGTGAAACTTTTAATGGAAAAAGAATTACATACGAAGACTGTAACTGAATTGTGGCTGCAAATATCATTTTATCATCTGGAAAACAGTACAAGATATATCAATTCTAAACTTA